CACACCCTGTGGTGCACTGTTTGGCAGTCCTCTTGGGGGAGAGGCCCCCACTTTGGATACTGTTGCTTTAAATAGCTGTGCAGTCTGGGTCCTGTTCATTCTGGCAGTCATGTGACATTTTCTGGGTCCATTTTTGTCAACTTTTCTTTCACAGACTCATGCAGCAATACATGTAAATGATCTGTCCAGCACATATTGGACTGAAATTGAGCTTTTTACTTGAAGTAGAGTGAAAAAAATTAAGGGTTATAGCCTTCTATTCACAGTAGATCTAGAAGATTGGACATGCCTTTGACTGACTGCACATAACTGATGTTTTTTTCCTCAGTAAAATCGTTATTTTGTTTTGAATTTGCTGTGATTATTTGCTTGCATACTTTTGGCTGGGGGGGGAGGTTTTTTTCCTTTTGTTTTAATTATTTGAAAGAGTGACTTTAAGCTCTAAATGGCCACGTTGCACAATGGCCAATTGTATAAATAAGGATCACAGTAAAGATTTTATAGACATGTGGTTCTGCACAAAGAGAAAATATTAGGTGGGATTCTTGAAAATTTGGTGCAACCAGTTAATCTACAATAGTAATATATTCAGTTTATTTGAATATATGTATGCAGTATAATTTGCCAATATGTTTGAAATGCCATTTTTACTAATTCTTTCTCAAAGGCATTAATAGATTTATTAAAATTTCTGCATTTGCATCATAAAATTACTATGCCATCATTATAGGTAATTTTGCAAGTAATAAAATATTGAAAAATAAATATTCTGATAGCATCAAAATACAGTTATATTTAACATTTTGGTGTGCTGTCTCTCATTTTCCCTATGTCAGTATTTTTTGCATAGTCATGCTTGTGTTATATACACATATGTTGTTACAGAAAACTTTATACCACTAAGGATTTATTTTTAATTAGGAGTCCAGAAAGTGCAATTACCTGGTCAAAAGTTGTGGACATTTTTAAGACTTTACTATGATTGCCATCTTGGTTTTCACGTTGTCCTAGTTTTCGCTCTGACCAGCAACATGAAATGACTGGAAAAACTACACCTTTGTCAGTATTCATCCAAGAAATGTATATTTCTCCTTTATCTAGACCCGAGAGATGCCGTGGGGAGCAATATCATATATTTCAGTTTTCCTCGTGAAACTTATAGTCCAGTTTGGAGGCAGACATCAATCATATAAGTGCCCAAAAAGATGTGGAATTAAGACTATGAATTACAGAGCAAAATGTTAACATCTGTTTTATCTCAGTGGTGGGTACTTGAATGTAGTTTCTGTGCCTTTCTGTATCTCTTAATGTATTAGAATATTTCGAAATGATATAATTTTGATGTTTTAAAAAGTCTTCACCTATAAAGAGTGCTGCCATAAAAGCATTCAAAGGAGGAATCTGACCTTGTCTGAGGTGTCAGAAAAGTGCCCCAGAGAAAGTGTTGATGGGACCAAACTTGGGAAGGAGAAAAAGGAGTTAGCTAGGCAAAGGTGTGTGCACATGGTGGGGTGTGCACAGGTGTACAAGAGGACATCTCTATGCAAGTGGGTGTATTTGAGGCAGGGAAGGTTAAGGGAACAGGAGAAATGTGGGAGATTATGGGATGTTTGCAGGCCGCCCACAGTGACCCAGGTTTCAAGCTGTGTGCTGAGGATGGCGTAGGAACAGTACAAACCAAGGTCAGGCCAGTAGGATGGGCCCCACTGCTGCAGGGTGTGAGTCATTCCGCGGATGTTGGATGTTGGAGAGTTGCTGCTTAATTCTTGACCCAATGGATCCGATAGAGCAGGCACCCTGCAGGGGGGAAGACCACCTAGGAGAGGCCATGAGGGGCTGGACTGCTGCCGGCAGTGAAAATGGAAAAGCGAAAAGAGTGAGGGAGGTTGTGAAGACAGCATCTGTATGAATTGAGCAACTCATGAGGTGGAATAAAAAAGGCAAGCGTGGTGTTGGTCTTAGGGGACTGGTGCTGTTAACATCAGCAGTCACGTCAGGAGCTGACTTTTCTCTGAAATTGGTGGAGGTGGGGGAACTGAAGTGAAAATGACGCTGTAGGAAGTTTAAACTTAACTGTGTTAAATTTGTAATTTCGATGAGGGTTTCATGGGTAGAGATTTATTAGAAATGTGGCCAATGACAAAGTGGGAGAGATCTTAATAGAGATTTTCAAGAAGTTTGGTCATTTTAACTGTATGTTATTGCTTTATATGATAGATTCAGCTCCAAGTATGCAGGATTGGGGGTTAGATATAATCCTTGAAAACCCAGTTTTTTTTTAAAGATTAGTTTGCATTTTATTTTAGATTTTTAAGATGGTTTAGTTCAATTGTTCGATCTTTACAGGCCACATAATTTAGTAGTTATGTGGGCAGGATCATGTTAACCCAGCTTTGCACGTATTAGTTATATGCTCTTTGTCCAATTACTCCCTTGTTCTGTGTCTCCACTTTCTCATCTTCAAAATGGGCTTCCTATGAAATAGGTTGTGGTGAAAATTCAGTGAGTTGGTCCTGGCCCCTGAAAAGAACACAATCAATGTTATCATGGTTTCTAAAAATAATAATAATAATGTGAAACTGGATAAACAGAAATCAATTTGGTTTTCTTTTCTTGAAATTAAATAAGAACTCAAAAACACAACTTCATATTTTACTTGTGCATTTCTTGTCAGAAGTGAGGTGCGGTCAGAACTCAGGCTCTCAGCCTCATGCTCTCCAGATTCACTCGTGGGGTCACAAATGGCAGGATGTCCTCTTTTTTTATGGCTGGGTAACATTCCATTGTGTATATACACCACAGTTTTTATCCCTTCATCTACTGGTGAACACTGAGGTTGTTCCCGTGCCTTGGCTACTGTGAACGATGCTGTGATGGACATGGGGGTGCAGATATCTTTTTGGGACCCTGACTCATTTCCTTTGCAGATACGTCCAGAAGGGAGATTGCTGGATCATATTCCTAGTTTTCATTTTTGAGGAACCTCCATCCCATTTCCCACAGTGACTGCATCAATTTTACATTCCTGCCAACAAGGCACAGAGGTTCCCTTTTTTCCACATCCTGGCTGATGCTTGTTCTCTCTTATCTTTTTTGTTAGTAGAAAAAACCAAAAGACAAGGGCTCTCCCTGTGTAAGTGTGAAGGGACTTGTGTCTTTTTATTGCCTTGCCTGACCTACTTAATTCAAGTCCAGACACTATAGTAGCTAAAATACAGGAATACTAAAAATAAGTGATTTGGAACATAAAGGCTTTGCAGAAAAATTGTCAATCTCTAAAATGCTCTGTATGTTTTCATGGCAACTGAGAAGCCCCACCCCTACTCCTGCCTTTCTCACTTTTATTCCCTTCTTTTTCTGTACAACTTATTTTCAGCACAGGAATAAATAGGATGCAGCAAAACTAGAAGTCCGCGGTCCTACTTAAAGCGTCAAGAGCCTAGTCAAATCTTATTGTGGGACGGGCAGAGTAAGGCACAAGAGTAATTTTTTTTCACTAATGCACATCTTAGAATTACGTGGTTTTAAAAGTTATATACTACAGATCAAGGAACATGCAAATAATTACTTAGATGTTTCTTTTTAAAATCCTGCTCTTCCAAAAGCACCTGTATTCTGAGGTGCTGGATGGTACTGAGGCTGTGATGCTGCGCTGTTCATGCGTGACTCTCCAGGTGTTCTTCAACACCAGAGTATCTTTGAAGAAAATCTGTGTGCCATGGAATCATTTTAAAAATGATCAGTTATATCAGATGCACATAGAAACAGATGCTGTCGTTCTTTTTAATTTCTTGAGGACTAAACAAAAGGCTAAGGATATCTGTTTTGAGTAGCTTCTTTGTTTTTGCATTTTTAGGGGGTTCACCTGTTTGCAAATCCATATTTTTATGTTAATTTAAAGTCACTCTGTTTCATCATTCTGTAACATCCTACTGTTTTGACAGCATAATCGTGTTTACATGTCCCATTCAGGGGTTGTGGGGAGATGCCGGTTGCCATGGGGAGGATTCTGTTGTCCTCCATCAAATAGGATCAGGAGATGGGAACAACCTTTCAAAACCACATGCAAATATTTATTTTCAAAGGTACAACCCGGCTCTCTGTGAAGCCCCAGGTCACTAGCATGGCTATCTTCTCGATGAGTCATCTAATGAGAAGTCTGTTACCATATAATATCCCTTTTGGTTTTAGTACACTTCTGCTGTCCTCAACCTCAAGCCATTTTGGCCAAGAATCCAAATCCATATTGTATAATTGTACAGTTTTTTTAGTTACATAATTTATATAAGTCAGTAGGGCTATGTGTTCAATGTCTCTGATTTGTCCAGATGATGGCCAGAGAGGAGAGGTTTGCTCCTGGGCCTTGCCCTGAGAGCAGGAGTTGATTTTCCCACTTCCTGTGGACCACACATGAGTACCACAGGGGCTTCCACCCAGCTGGGGTGGCCCTTTAGACATCAAGGAAACGTTCTCCGTGTGGGGGCTTTTTCTAAGGATGTGTACCAAATGTTAGTATGACTTTTTTTTTAATATAGAGTTTTCACATTTTGGGATTATTTGTCAAATAAAGTAAAAAGAAAAATCCATCAAAAAGCCTTTAATAAGGTTTCTTAAAGCCAGAAGTTTGTAAAACTCTTCTCCTGCCATCCTGAATAATATTAAACTCTTAAACTAGTTAGTTTAGGACTTAATAATTAAAGGAACAGATTAAGTAGCTTAATTGTTTTAACTAATAATTTGAATACACGCATATTAGTTTCATATAATGACCTGTGGTCTGCAGTGGAGAAATGCCAGCTTAAGACTACGTTTTCTCCACCTTCTGTGATTAGCCTATTTCAGGTTGGATAAATACGGAGGAATCTGGGAAACGTGACATAAAAGGTGCTACTTCTATAAAATACCCTCTTACTTCTGAAAAAGAAAGAAAAGAAACAGAAAAGAAAAAAGTTCTGCTGTGACACGTTGTGAGGCTCATGACCACTCTGTTTGCCTTTCAGATCCCCAGCTCAAGGGTATAGTGACCAGGTTATATTGCAGGCAAGGCTACTACTTGCAAATGCACCCGGATGGAGCTCTCGATGGGACCAAGGACGACAGCACCAATTCTAGTAAGTGACGACCGCAGGCCGCCGTTGACACACAATCGGTAGAAGATGCGCTGCTCCCTAAATGACGTTTAAAAATACTCTTGCAAATGCTAGATTATGTTCGTTCATTTTTATGAACGTCACACACTAGAATGCCTTTTACAATTTTACTTGGACCACATGAATGGAAATACTGATAGAGCATCAAAAGAAACCTGTCATTTTCAGAGAATGATAAGTTAATCTTTCCAGTTGTTTTTTTCCTCCAACAATTGTCATAGCCAGCATGTTACTTTAATCTCATTATCATCAAAGTCAAGTAAGTACACTAGTGCATTCAGATGGAAGTTGATTACATGGTTACTTGGGAAGTTTTATCTTTATTAGGCCTGTAGCTTTTCATGATAATTGTGGAAATTCAAGAGATACACGGATTAGCTGTTTCAAATAATAGAAATGTTGTTTTTCAGGTTCTTTGTGTTCAACAAGAAAGGATAATACCTTTCTTTGTAGAGAGAACACGGAGCCTGTGTGCTTTTAAATACAGTGTGCACGCTGTTTAACTGTCTTATAGGATTGGGTCGGTGCTAACTTTTTAAACTCAAGAAGCCACCCACCTTCCATTGTTTTAATGTCTGTCTTCATTTTACTATTTCTTCATACATAACTTTGCTTTTTTTATTCTAGGGTCCCTCTTACTCGGTTGTCCATGTTTTCCTTTCTCCTTTTCTGTTCGTACTGGCATCTGATGCCCGTTAATGTAGCACATCAGTTCTAAGATAGACGCACATTTTATTGCTCAGGAGACTTAGTGAAAAGCAAAACCTGATTTTATTGGAACTATTTCATGAAATATTACTAGTGGGTCAGGAGCAGATCTGAATCTTTTCATTGACTGATCATTTATCCTTCACATGCAGAACATCATTCCACGGAAGGAAGGAGGCTTTGAATAAACATAACCAAAGTATAGGCACTTTCTGCTTTAAATTCTAAATTCTAGTAATCGACTGTTCAGAAGCACTGATTCTGAGGACAGCTTATAATATAGACTATTTCTGCATTTGGCGTTGCTAAGTGAAATGTCAATATTTGCCCAGCCATTGTGTTTATTTTTTTAGACTTTAGACATTATTTTTTATTTTTCTTTCAGCTTTACATCTTTCTTTGTTTATCTACATTTTCCTCCAATTCAATTTTTAATCTTTTCCTCTCTTTGTTTCTATCATGTTGTCCTTTTGTACTTTAAGATATCCTCTATCACATTTCTTCATTGAATTTTGTTTTTGCTTTATTTCTTCTTTTGATTTAGAAAAAGAGGAGATAAAGCAATTCAGACACAGGGAAGAAAGAGAAGACATTTTTATTTATAAGACAGAAGTCAGACATTGTTTTGTTGGTGGGATTTTGATATTAAGTTATTTAAACTTTTAAAATCATTAAAATCGACCATCTTTGCCCATGAAAGATGTCAGTTTCTTCTGGTTTATGTCAATACATGTATTTAACTCCTCACTCATTCTTTGACAAAAGACATCCTCTTTCCCTTGTGTCTTATAGTTGTGGGGGCCTCAGCCTTCAGGGAGTCGTAAGTTCTGATGTCTTCAGTGTTCTCTGGTTTTCTCTGG